TGCCCGCCCTGGGGCCCGGTGGGAGCCGGCGCCCCCCGGAGGGGACAGGTCCCAGAGCTCACCCCCCACCCCCCGTTACAGGCGGATTTCCCCACCACAGTGGGGCTGCTGGCCCCCGAGGAGTCGGCGCTGGAGCTGGACGGGGAGAAGGAGAAGAAGCCGGGGAAGGTTTATTACATCGACACCAACTCGCTGCACGTCCCGCGGGAGAACACGGAGGTCCTGTCACCCCTCAAGAACGGCATGAGTGAGGGTTTGGCCCCCGGGGCCCCGCCACAGGCTCCCCCTGCCATGGCCCCCCCGCCACAGGACCCAACTACCCCCCTGCCATGGCCCCCCCTGCCATGGACCCCCGCTATCCCCCTGCCACAGCCCCCCCACCATGGGCCCCTGCTACCCCCCCGTCATGCCCCCCAGCCACGAGCCCGCGCTACCCCCCGCCACGGGTCCCCGCTATCCGCCTGCCACGACCCCTCCTGCCATGGGACACAACTACCCCCCTGCCACAGGCCCCCCCGCTGTCCCCGTGCCGCGGCCCCTGCTGCCACGGGTCCCCTGCCATGGGCGCCCCGTTACTCCCTGCCACAGAACCCCCAACCACAGCTCCCCACTTCCTTCCCTGCCTCCCCCTGCCCCTCCAAGGCTTCCGTACCCCCTGCCCGGGGCACCCCCCAGTGGCTTCCCCACCCCCAAGGGCGACCCCACGTGGTGCAGGGGGGCTGGGGGGAAGTGGGATGATGCCACCTTAACGGAGCCCCCCCCCGTATCTCTCCCTCCCCCCCGTGTCATTCCCTCGCCCCCCCCCCACGCCGCTGTCCCCCCAGTCGAGGACTGGGACTGTTTCCAGGCGATTCTGGATCACACGTACGGGAAACACGTCAAGTCGGAGCCCGGCCTGCACCCCGTGCTCATGTCCGAGGCGCCGGTAGGTCCCCCCGTGCCCCCTACGTCGCGTCCTCCCTGCACCCCGACACCCCCAATCCATCCCCTGCACCACGACATCCCCCCGATCCACCCCAACATCACCTCACCCCCCTGCACCCCGACATCCCCCCCATCCCTCCTCTGCACCCCAACATCACCTCACCCCCCTGCACCCCGACAACCCCCCAACCACCCCCCCGCACCCCCACCTCACCTCCCCCCCCCCCCCCCCGCCC